TGCCATCTAGTGGTTGGGGACAGGAATACTAGTAAACATTCTCCAACAGCCCCTACAAGGAATTATCTGGCCCAAAATGTTACTAGTGCCACAGCTGAGAAACCCTAATTCATAATATATACCTCAAAATGCTTTCTCACCTCTGGGTCCCCGTTTACACTGTTTCCTCTGAACGGAATACTCTTCCTCAACCTGCTTCATCTGACTTACTGTTAGTCATTTTTAAGGTCTCACCTTAGATGTCATTTTCCAGAGCTGGCCCTCAAGTCTGGATTAGGTGTCCCTCTGATATAATTACTTAAACCCTTCTCCCCTTCACAGCACTTACCACACTACATGATAATTGCTTGGCTGACCTAACTCTAAAACCAACTTGAGGATAGCAATTTGTGTTTGCCTGGTTAATACCTTTATATCCTCAGTGGCATGTACAGTGTGCCTAGCACATTAAGGATTCAAGACATTATTCTTAAGTGAATGAGCAAGTAAAGACACAGAGAATACATGTACCTCTTAGGTAAACAGAGAGGCAGCCAGTTGAAGCAAATTGACAAAGAAGAAAATGACAGAGTTACAGGATTAGGATAAAATCAGAAAACTGATCACCTCAACCTGAATTCAGCTAAAGCCTCTTCCTCCAGGGTACTTACATATACTGGTTGTTTCACTGTCTTCATGCCCAAGGAAATAAGAGGTACACCACCAAACCAGCGAATATCTGGTAGAAGAAAGAGAACTATTCTTAGAAAGCCTAAGGAGCTATAAGACTCACCAACCTCCAGGTACTCCAGATTAACAGAATCATTTTGCATAATATAATTAATGAAATAAATGTGACTGACTCTGAGGAAGCTAATGAGCAGCCACTTGGTTTTCAGACAACAAACATGGAAAGTAAAAAGGCCAAATATTTAAGGACACAGAGAGAAAAGGAAAAAAGATCAAATGGCTTGGCTACTTGTCTTCTACTCAACAATGCTAAATGTGTGGCCACTCCCAAGACTGGACTCTAACTGCACTCCATTTTAAGTAGGAATATAAAAAAAGATGCTGGTAAAAATGGGAATTTAGTATATGATAAATGCAGTACCATGAATATGAGGGAAATGGTGCTAAGACAAGCATTCTACTATCTGGGAAAAAAATAAAAGAAAAGGAAAGAAAGAAATGGCTTACATCTCACCATAAAGCAAAACAAATCAAATTCCAAGAAGAGTAAATGTAAAGGCAAAAAAAAACTTTTCAAAAAAAATTTCAAAAGTAGAAATTATTTATAAGAGCATCGAAAAGAATAAAATACTCAGGAATAAACTTAACCAAGTTGGCTAAAGACTTGCACATTGAAAACTACAAAACATTGCCAAAAGAAATTTTAAAAGACAGAAATAAATGGAAAGACATCCGTGTTCATGGATTGGAAGACAATACTGTTAAAATGTCAAATCTACCTAAAGCAATCTACAGATTTAATGCAATCCCTATTAAAACTCCATCCTAAAATTTATATGGAATCTTACAGAACCCTGAATAGCCAAACTATCTTGAAAGAGTTGAAGGTATCATACTTTCTAAGGCCTATTAGTAATCAAAACAGTGTAGGGATAAAAACAGTGGTATAAAAACAGACATATACACCAATGGATTATTAGAACAGAGCAAAATAACCCCTGTATAAATAGTCAAACATTTCTGACAAGGTGCCAAGACTGTTTAATGAGGAAATGAGTCTTTTCAACAAATGGGACTGGGAAAACTGTATATCCACATATAAAAGAATGAAGTTGGACCTTTACCTTACATCATATATAAAAATTAATTCAAAATGGACCAAAGACCTAAACATCAGATCTAAAACTACAAAATCCTAGAAGAAAACAGAGGTAACTCGTAATTCGGTAAAATAAGAAACTAAAGATGGTTTCTTATCATAGACTTAAAAATGTATTCTTCTCTCCTGCCCCCATAGAAGTACAGGAAAATCATTTTTTCACCCCTAAAATCTCAAAAATCTAATCACTGATTTTCTCTGCCAAGACAAGTCTAATTAGTAAACAAACAAACAAAAACCCTGAGAATAAACATAAAATATCTCCCAGCCTATGAAATTAGTTTACATACCAACTACTTTTAGTTTATCAATGGTCAAATTAATATTTATTAATCTCTAATCCCATTTCCATAGAAATTGCCATTAACAAGGAAGATCTATTAATGTGTTTGACAAAGTATACTACCTTTTTGTCTTTGAAAATCAACATCTAAGTCTTAGAGACATGGCAATCAGAGAAAGTGAGAAAGCAGTAAAGAAACCGGCTTCATAAGCAAAGTATAAATGAAGCCAATATTTAAGCATTAAATATGTGCCAAGTGATATAATACAGGCTACTTCATCTAATTAACACATCACTCTTGAGGTAGACATTATTATCTCCATTTTAACAAATGAGGAAGCTGCCACTCAGAGACTTGCCAAAGTCACAGAGCTAGTTAGTCTCAGGGCCAAAATTTTAACTCAGGTCTCTGACTTTCAAGTACATGCTCTTTCAATGAATCTAAGTTGCTTCTTTTAATGTAAGCAACAAAAATCCTGAGAAGGACCATGTTGACTAGACAAATATAATAACCTTGGGGAGCAAAAGGCAACTGGGGGGAGAAAAAGTATAATTTCAGTCTGTCAAGTCAGAGAACATTGTTAGCTTGTGCTTAACTTTGACAAGGTTAAATGGTTCTCCTCTCTTCTACCATTAAGAAAGAATACGCACTTGCAAAATAATTTAGGAATCTATCTTCTCGTCCAAAGATGTCTGACGGCATTATGATAGTGGCTTCTGGAAATGCATTTCTTACTTCTTTCTCTCCAACAGCCTAAACAAACAATCAAATAAAAGAGTTCTGAGATGAGTAAAAAGAAACCTTCCATTATTTCCACTATCGGGACACTGCTTGTATTACAAAGGTCATATGTTCATTCAGATTAAAGTAATGATACTATTCATAAAACTCAGTTACACCGAATTTTTTTTTAAAAAATCACACATAAAAATACCCTGTCTCTTACAGCTCTTGATGGGTTTCTTCTCATATTTAGTCTAGGGAAGCTTACACAATAAGAAAAAAACCAGAGTAGAATTTTTCTAGCCTCTCTTTTTCCTTCTAATTACAGATTCTCTTGTTTGTCAACCACCTAGCAGCCTGCCAGAGAAAGGAGAGTGCTGAAATGCACTACCTTGATGAAAGTTGCAGCAGTACATACCTACTCAGAAGAAGTCGAAAAGAGGGTCCTTAATCTTCCTCCCCTCACCTGTTATCATCCACCTATTTCCTAGACAAGTCCTCTTGTTCGATGCAGACATCGGCACCTCGTTCAGTCCTCCTTTCCACCCAACTTCTTTTTCGCCTACACCACCACTATGGGTGACATCAAATTCGAAAAGGACTTGGACCTCTCAGTTTCTTGAGCTTCTCAACTCCAATGACCACCTCTTCACTCCATTCCTACACTGTCAATTCAGTCAGGCTCAGACCCTATCAACGACTTAAGTGCCCTTCTTCTGAATCACTAAATGAAGACATCCTACTCCTAGATTACAAACTCCTATTTCCAGCCTGCATGTTCTTTGTTTATCTGCTCCTGAGATATGTTTCTCAACTTTCTCAGGAACCCTAGTCCACTGATCCTGCTTGTAACACTGTCTTTCCTTGGCTTCTTTATCTTGTTATTCTTCTGATTTCCCTATCTCGTCATTACCACTACTCAGTCTTTTTGTTTCTTGCAGGTGCCTCCTGGTCTACGAGACCACTAATTACTGGTATTCCTCTCCTCTCAATCTATACTTCCTCACTAGGCCATCATATCCCCACCCATTGTTTCAATAACAAATGCTGCTGATTCCCTAATTTATACCTCTAACCCAGACCTCTCTTCTGGTTTGCAGGATCAGAAAGCCCATTCCCCACTGTTATCTGGATGACTGACATACATATGAAATGCAACCCGAATCTAAAACTGGATCATCCTTAGTCTATGGCCATGCCGCCCTGAATGCGCCCGATCTTGTCTGATCTCGGAAGTTAAGCAGGGTTGGGCCTGGTTAGTATGTTGATGGGAGACCACCTAGGAATACCAGGTGCTGTAGGTGTTAAAGTGAATGAACGAATAAATGAATGAATGAATGAACAGGTAAGAATAGCAAAATAAATGAATGAATGAATGATTGAATAAATAAACAAATAAAAAAAAGCTGGATCATCCTCTTCCATTCTCCATAAATAGTATTTCTCAATCTTCGCTGTACACTAGAATTACCTAGGAAGAGTTAAAAAACACTCAAGTTTTATCCTAAGAGATTCTATTTTAATTGGTCTTGGTGTAGCCTGGGCATCAGAATTTTTCAAAGCTCCCTCAGTGATGGTAATGTGCAGCTAAGGCTAAGAATTACTGCCCTAAGGCCTGGTCCTTCTCAAGGGTTTCTCATCTTATTCAACAGTATCGCCATCCATCCTGCTGGACATTTTTGACTCTTCTTTCTCACCAGACTCCCTCAACCCCGTTCCTTCCAAACAATCATATATTCAGATGATTCTATGAATGCTAGGGCAGAAGCAGGCACAATGTACACATTCTCTCTCTATAATGTAGTATGAGAATGTGAGGCCCTGATGTGCTGTCAGGCAGTTTTGTGAGTATGAAAAACCAAGCTTACACAAAAGGAAGCTTAAAGAATCACAAAGAAACAAAGCTGCACTCCTGATGAACCTTGACACCAATATTTTTAAGGGTCCCTATTGTTCGATTTTTCAGATACATGGGCCTATAAAGTCCCTTTTGTTTAGGCCAGTTTACACTGGATTTGCTAATGCTAATAATTAAATGCTCCTAACTGATACATATCCTTTCTCCCCCATTCTAGGCTCCTATGGCACTGTTTGCTATTCTGCAATACCTGGTGCCTTTGGAATTATTTTCCTCAAAGGACTGGAAACTAGATATGGGCTAAGACCATGTCTCGTTTATTCACTACTGTATCCCCAGTGCTTAATACAACATGCAGTATATAGTACGTGCTTAGTAAACAATATATTCAATAAAAGATTGCAGTAAGTCAAAAAGTTGGAGTCACTGTCAAGGAACTCTGTGGTCATTCTCAGTCTTCACATCACCCCTTCAGAAGTGGCATAAGACCATGATTATACAAGGGGTTTAAGAAAAAAGATCGTCCTTAGCCTTGGGAGGTGACACAAGTATGACTCTTTTGGGCAGAAATCATACTCTATCTTTTATGATGTTTACTGTGTAATGCTATTATGTCCCAAGAAACTACGCATTTGAGGGCAGGTAATAATATTGTTTATCTATCTTTGAAGTCCCTTAGCATAGTTCCCTGTAAACAGAAGGCACTCAACCAAAATGAAAGAACACTACCCCAACCGCACCACCCCCACCACCCCCCCCAACCACCACACA